TAATTATTAATAATTAGTACATATACCTTAGATTTTTCATCATCTGAAGCTCTTGTGGCTTCATTTAGAGGGACTGCTCCATGTTCCTTTGCCTCTTTGAAAAGTTCATTCACGATTTCCCCAGTTGAGGGTCGAACTATATGTAATCCACTGTACTCATGCTCACTTGGATAGAACCTTTGAACATTACAGTTTGGGAATGAAAATTAAGAGTAACAGACCTAAGCTACCTTAAAGTGAAAAGTTACATACTTTTAAGAAATAGCTTTTATTTACAAAAAGACATTTTAAAAAGAAGACTTTTGTGAAATGCTTTTATTTTAAACGGACATTTCTGTAACTTTCGTAGAAGCCTTTAACTTTAAAAATAGGATTATTGAAAAGGTTAAATGGTATCTAGTTCACATACTTTCTCACAATGAATTTGCAGACATTCTGGTAGTGAGTTAGTTTAAGCATGAAAATTGGCTTACTCCCTTGTTCCTTCCCTCCTCTGTAAATGCTTATCAAATGCATCTCTTTCACCATTATACCTATCTGATGTAATAGGGAAATAGCCGATCAGAAGCTAATCTCGTCCCCTATGGGATTCACCTTCAGTAGGGACCTAGTTAGTGAAGCAGCCTCTAGATTTACACACCGTGCTCCATTATAAACACTATGTTAAGGGGAATAACTTGGACCACAATGAACAATCAATCTTTCAGTTGCACTGTTAGCTTGTCACCAATTCCAGCTTCATAAATGGCCCTAGGAAACACAACCATTTCCTTCACCTAAGATTGCTGTTAGTTATCACCGGATGAAGGAGCAGCTCTGGTAGCATAGTGGTTACGAATTGGGCTGCGAACCTTAAGGTCAGCAGTTCGAAACTACCAGCCTCTCTGCAAGAGAAAGATGAGGCTTTCTGCTTACATAAAGATGTACAGCCTCGGAAACCCTATACAGCATCGCTATGGGTTGGAACCGACAGGACGGCACTTAACAACAACAACATCATTGGATGATTCATTCCACTTTATTGACCCCCACGGGTGTAAAGCAGAACTGTTCCATAGGGTTTTAAAAACTGCAGCCAAAGAAGCAATCTGCAAGTCCTGTCTTCTGAGGTGCTTCTGGGTGGGTTGGAACCACAAATCTTTTGGCTACCAGTTGAGAACTTAGCAGTCTGTGCCACCCAGAGACTGGTTTACATAAGAGCACTGTAGTAAAGTGCTGTGGAGCTGGTTCCAACTAGTGACCCTGTGTAGAGTTTCTGAGGAGTAGATGAGGAGTCTGAATTGCTGACTTTGCAATTCAAACTGACCTTGTGGTCCAGTCCGTATCCACACCAGGACTCCTGTGGTGGTGGTGGTTATGTGACGTGGAGTTGTGTAGTACCCTATTATTATCTTTCAAGAATGTTTTCAGTCAAGAACATACAAAAAACCACAATCAGTAAACTATAAATACCAACATGGAGACTTCCAGTGTAAGATAATAACCAAAGCTCATAGGCTGAACTGCCAATACCCTCTAGAGTCCAGTTTCAAGTCCCGAAGCAACAAGCTGAAACAATGGGGAGAAATTACACCACACTGGACCCTTGGAATGGAGGTCACCCTGAAGATGTCCTCCAAAATCAGTTCATGCAAAACTCAACTGATCTGATGATTCGAAAAAGCTTAAAAAACCATTATGCCCAAGAAAAATACTATTCATAATACAATTTCATATGAAGGCTACTAAACTGATATCTAAGGTAATTTTCTCATAATATTTTAGCTTTCTATTAAAAGTTTTAGGCATAGTACCTAACTAATATTTATCTACGAGTCCTGATGCGGCACTGAAGGATAAGTACTATACTGCTAGGTTGGTTTGAACCTTAAGGTTGGCAGTTCAAACTCACCAGCCACTCCACGAAACCCAGTCACTATGAGCCGGAAACAATTTAACAGCACTTTACAGCAACAATAATATTTATCTTAAGAAATTAACAATTAAAAAATTTTCCACTATTAAGAACATTATGATTAGTAAAGTAAAAAAGGCTATAATTTTTAAACAACAAAAGCTTACCTTTGCGGTGGTGTTTGTGAGTTTATAGAGACTGCAGCTTTAGGTCCATCCATCCTCGAGGATTTGCCTTTCATTTCATCTTCGTATAATCCTGCTAAGGCCAACTATATAACAACAGTGGTGTTACAATGCATAATGCCAGAAATGAATCCTTCTACCCAAACAAAACTATGAATAAAGTGGTAAACACTTCTCTTGAAAATATCAAAGCTTGCTTCAGAAGATGACCCCTTTCCAAAACAGTTACTGCATCTTTCACACAGTGCTGTTGTTAAGTGTCACCGGGTCCGTTCTGACTCACTGCAACCCTGAATAAGGTTTCCAAGGAGTACATGGTGGGTTTAAACTGCCAACCTTACAGTTAACAGTCTAGTGCTTATTTTATAGCACTATACCAGCTCTGGTAGCATAGTGGTTATGAATCAGGCTGCAAACCACAAGGTCAGCAGTTCGAAACTACCAGCTGCTCTGCGGAAGAAAGAGGAGGCTTTCTGCTCCCGTAAAGATTTATAGCCTTGAAAACCCTGTTCAGGGTCGCTATGGGTCGGAACCAACTTGACGGCACTTAACAACAACAATACAAGGACTCCAATGTAATTGTTGTTGTTAAGTACCGTGGAGGTGGTTATGACTCATAGCGACCCTGTATAGTGTTTCTATACAGGAGAAGCTGGTGAGTTTGAACTGCAGACTCTGTGGTTCAATATAACAGAACTAATCAATACTGGAGTCCTGGTGTGGTGCTGTGGGTTAATGCATCAGACTGCAAAGCCATTTGAACTGCAAGGTCAGCAGTTCAAGCTCACCAGCTGCTCCTTGGAAATCCTACACAGGGTCGTTATGGGTCGGAACCGACTGGCTGGCACTTAACAACAACAACGATCAATACAGGTAACACCTGTTTTTCAAAACTTCACTTCGCTTTTACACAAGACCTACATTAATACCTGTTTTTGCTAACAGAATGAAATGTGTAGAGGATTTCACTTTCACAGAAAAAAAAAGGCTAAAGGGAAAACTAGTGTTCAGAATGGGTTATGCAGCAAGCTGCTAAAAAGTCAGCTCATATCCCAAGCAGCAGGAACAACATCGCCAAGTTCCTTATTCCATACTCAGCAATAAGCCGCCGTGGCTTTAAACTGCATCTGTGGACACTGCACACTAGTTATTTTAGGTTTCATATGTTATTGGGTGTTACTTGGTAGGTTATTATTTTGGTCTGTGAACACAAAAAGTAATACCATATAAATGAATGGTAATTCTTTATTTTATGTCATTACGATTTATTTAAAAAATCATAGAAATGTTCGGCTCTCGGGTAGTGATGAAAACCTGTTTATTTATGGGTGGATCTGCATGATAAACTCTAGACTGTGAATCAGAAGGTAGGTGGTACAAGGCTACCAGCCACTATGTGGGAGGAAGATGAGGCTTTCTGCTCCTGCAAAAATTTAGTCTCGAGAACCCAATACAGGGTCACTATGAGTTGGAACCAACTCAACGGCACTTAACAATAACTACATATGTGACTCTGCCGCATAAACACTGTACTGTGAACCACAAGGTCAGTGGTTCAAGTCCACCAGCTGCTCCATGGGAGAACGATGAAGCTTTCTGCTTTCTCAAAGATTCACTCTTGGAATCTTTGTTAGAATTGACTGGATAGCACTTAACAACAATGACAATCACTTATTTTGGAATAACATTTTAATTATAATGTTGTTGTTAAGTGTCCCCTGAATCCCTTCCAACTCACAGTAACCCTGTATAGGGCTTCTGAGGCTATACACTTTGTGGGAACAGAAAGCCTCAGGCTACTCCTGCAGAATGGCTGGTGGGCTTCAACTGTCCACTCTGTGATTCACAGTCCAGTGCTTATCCTAGGGAACCACTGTGCTCCTGTAACTATAATATTCAATTATAATAACTGTTTAACTATTTTCCAACATTGCCCTTATATGATACTCCTACAATTCTTTAAAAAAATACATTAAGGTATTTTACACTAATATCAACTTGTTCACATTATGTCTCATTAAATAAATTCATTCAGCCATTCAAGTTTTCAAAACTCATGTACATAAAACAGTATTAAAATTATTTTATTTAAAAGTCTATAAGCCATATAAATGTATTCAACTTTAATAAAATGAAATTAAACCAATAAAACAATGATATATACTGAAGGCACTGGTGTAAAACAAGGGTCCAAGAATTGATGAAATACAAATTTAAATCTTTCAGCAAACTAATGCACTGGAGGTGCTCACTTGTCTATGCCAAGAAATTTGGAGGACAGGTACCTGGCCAACCAATTGGATATTTATATCCATCCCAAAGAGAAGTAACCTAACGGAATGTGGAAATCATTGCATAATATCATTAATATCCTATGTAAGTAAAATTTTACTGAAGATAATTCAAAAACAGTTGCAACTGTACATTGACAGGAAACTGCCAAAAATTCAAGCTAGACTTAGATGACTTGGAACAAAGGATACCACTGCTGACATCACACGCATCTTGGCTGGAAGCATAGAATACCAGAAAGATGTTTACCTGTGCTTTATTGACTATGCAAAGTTTTCAATCTTTGATCATGATAAACTATGGACAATCCTGAGGAAATCAGTCATGCTCATGAGGAACCTGTACATAGAAGCAATCATTCAGACAGAACAAGGGGACACTGAATGGTTTATAATCAGGAAAGGTGTGTGCCTGGTTTATATCCTTTCACCAGATATAGCCAATTTGTATGCTGAGCAAATAATCCGAGAAAATGGATTATATGAAGAATGTGGCATCAGGATTGAAGGAAAACTCACTAACATCCTACAGTATGTCTATGACTTTAAAATATACATATACACAAGAAAATAAAAAGGGAAAGCTTTATTTTTCCTAAAAATTTTATCCCACCACCAACATAGGGGAGGACAAGTCAAAAAGTAATGCTAGTTAGGTTCTAGTTCATAGATTTACAAGTTTATTCCAAATAAAACTTGCTTAAACAAGTCTCTGCAATCAGTGGATTGTTGTTGTTGTTAAGTGCCGTCAAGTTGGTTCCGACCCATAGCAACCCTGTGTAGGGTTTCCAAGGAGCAGCTGGTGAGCTTGACCTGCTGACCTTGCAGTTCAAACAGCTTTGCAGTCTGGCACATTAACCCACAATGCCACATCAGGACTAGCTGCAGATAAAGTCTCTCAATAGTATACTTGTCTTAGTTTCATTAGGGTACCTTCAAAACAAAAATAAAAATTCCCATCAAAACAGTACTCTAGTCTGGTGGTGGTTGTGTGCCACTGAATCGTCTCAGACTCATAGTGGTGGCTGCTGGATTTGAACAGTTAGCCTTGCAATTAGCAGTCCAGTGCTTACCCTAGTGGGCCATACCAGGGTCCACTAGTCTGACTGTTGCTATTAAGTGCTGTAAAGTTGGTTTTGACTCATAATGATCCTGCATAGGGTTTCCAAGGAGGAGCTTGTGGATTTGGACTCCTGACCTTGTAGATCTGGATCGTAATCTAAAAACTCTAAAGAATTTCCAAAGATCTGCTGGGCCAGTTAAGATCAGAAAGAGAGGTCAGCTCAGAAGGTTACATTGTTTTTGGTAAGTGGCATCGTTTAGGTTCTGACTTACAATGATCCTATGTAAAACATGCCCAGTTCTGTACCGTCCTCACAATTGTTATATTTGAGCCCATTGTTGCTGCCACTGTATCAATTATCTTGTGGAGGATCTTCCTCTTTGTCGCTAATCTTTCACTTTTCCAAACATGGTGTCCTCCAGGAATTAACACCTTCTGATGGTATGTCCAAAATACTAGAGATGAAGTCTTATCATTGTTTGTTCAAAGGAGCAGTATGGCTGTACTTCTTTCAAGAAACGTGTTTGTTCTTCTAGCAGTCCATGGTACTTTCAATATTCTTCATCAATACTTCAAATGCATCAATTCTTCTATAGCCTTCCTTATTCATTTTCCAACTTTTACATACATATGAGACAAATAAAAGTACCATCATGGCTTGGGTCTGAAACACCTTAGTCCTCAAACTGACTTTTTGTTTTTAATACTTTAAAGAAGTCTTTTACAGCATATTTAACAAATGCAATACATCATTTGATTTCTTGACTGCTGCTTCCATGTGTACTGATGGTAAAATTAAGTCTTTGACAACTTCAATCTTTCTCCATTTATCATGATGTTATTTATTGACCCAGCTGTAAGGATTTTCATTCTTTTTATATTGAACTACATGCAACCCATAATGAAGGCTGTGGTCTTTGATCTTCATCAGTATTTTAAGTTCTCTTCACTTTCAGAAAGCAAGGTTGTGTCATTTGCAAATCCCAGTATGTTAATGACTCTTTCTCCAATCTTGATGCCAAGTTCTTCTTCATATAATCTAGCTTTTCATGTTACTTGCTCAGTTTACAGAATGAGTAAGTATGGTGAAAGGAAACAACCCTGACACACTCCTTTCTTTATCTTAAACCATTCGTTATTCCCTTGTTCTGTTTGAACAACATTCTTTTATGAGGGTATAATCTTGATAGATATTCTTGAAGGAAACAGGATGGTTATGGGGGCTTATAAAAAAGTTTTAAGAAAATTGAAAAATGCATTGGTGAGAAAGTCCAGAAAAGTTGTGCTGAGGAATTTTCCTCCATCACGACACTGCACCAGCTCATTCTTTTTTTTTTCTAATGTTTTATTGTGAATTACGTGATAGTTTACATGGGAGAACATTAGCT